TATTATTATTATTACTATTATTATTATTATTATTATTATTATTATTATTATTAACTGTCCAAAATCAGGCGAAGACGTCTGATACCAGATGGAACCTTCCAAGATCAGACGGAAGCTTCTGAAATGCGACGAAAGTGTTTGAAATAATTATGATGAGAGAGAGTCCAAAATCAGACGGAAACGTCAAAACTGGAACAAAACAGTTCATAATTGGACGGAGGCATCCGAAAATCTCCTGTTTCTCAGCTGTTTAGAAGAAAAAAATCAGTGAATGCTATCATAGCTTGTGATGGATTTGATGCGACAAAACAGTTCGTACATGTATGTACTGCTTCCAAACAGGTCGCTGTGACTCATTTCCTAGCAACGATCATCGTTAAAATCTACAATCCAATGATTTTGTGGGTCGTTTTGGGGAGACAAAATTCTGTCGGGCAGGGACAAAAATGTTCACAGAAATTCTCTGTATCCCACGAAACGATATATTATTTGTGAAGTGTGCAAGCTCAATAATGACGACCACGTGATACAATAGACTGTTGACTCATATTCTACTTCACTTACCTGACCAATCATCGTGAACAGTGGTGCAGGATGTCCAGGACAGACCGCAGATCTCAGGGAGAGAACCCTCAACATTTCTTTCCAACATTTGGAATCAATTTGCAGCAATGCGGCAGTGTCCGGGGTGTACTTTTGTACAATCAATTGTAGCAGAGTGCTTTCATCTTCATGCAAGAGGGCTTTGCTATCCTCGCACTTGTCTAAAAGTTTTTTCACCACCGGCAACAGAGTCTGAAGCATATCCTGTGTAAAAACGACATTTCCTCTTGTTATTTGGTTTGCCCGCTCTGATTCTCCACGGCTGAGCGTACAAGAACCCAGCGGTGAATTATGTCAACAACTAGGTTCACATGTGACTGGCGCCCTGGTTATTGCTGAGGTCTACAAATTCGAAAGCGTCTGAAAAACACACTTTTCGAGTAACATCTTTCTTTATCGACAATCGTGTTGAAAATCTACCGTTTATTCTTGTTCTCATAAACATAAGAGATCCTCAGTTTTGCCTGTTGTCAGCTATGTTTCTTCGTACCTGAGTAGTGATACTTCGTAACGATGACAATATGGTTCGTTTGACAAAGGAAGGCGTTTCACTGGTTGTTACATGTTGTAACAAGAAGTTCAGCGAGTTCTTCATGATCTTCGCATGTGATGCCTTGGAGTGAGGCTGGGTGCGAGTTACCAATGCAGCAAAAAACTCACCAAGAACCCTGTCAATGAAAAGTTCAAATAGTAAATGATTAGTCTACATAACAGGCGATGATTTTTCCCTTTTATTGGCGTTTTTCAGGCGAGGGATGGCACACGCAATGTGCACACAATGGCAGGTCACACGTGTGACTCGCCCTTTANTCTACTAGTATCGCAGAGGTCAGTGGTTCGAATCCCGTACAGGCCTGATTTTTTTCAGGTCTGATTTTCGCTATTGCATAAATAGCGCTATCTACTGCGAGGATCGTGCATCATACGTATTTCAGAATTGTTGGAAAAGATTTGGAGGGCTGGTCAGAGTTCTGAGCTGTGTGATGTTTTTGGAGAAGACGCCCTACTTATCAAGTTCTTTCCTTCTGCAAGGATACAAATATTTACTGTATGCGGGTACAGGCCATTGATTTGGTTTATTTTTTCCGTTAGTTGCAGCAAAAACACTACAGTACCTGAACATGTTGTCTTAGCCAGTTCCTTCACTACCCTCCCGCTTATGGAACCAAGACATGCACTGCCGATGTGAAGACACTGAACTTGCAGAAGAGCTGATACACTCTCCCTTCCCTGGTGGGGATTTTTGCACCATAAATGTCCTACAAACTTTAGCAGGACTAGTTTATCGGGTAGATGGCACTAGAAAAGAACCAATGAAAATAAGAACACTTTTATTGGTATTGTTAATAGTGGTTGGTCACGATTTATTTTTTCAAAGAAGAAATTATAGTTGTTTACGTAATCTCATCATTAAAACATAGGTCAAGTCCCTAGTTCACTGCAGTGTCTCCTAGGACCCTGAAGTAACGGAAAATTACACTTCATTGAACAAAGGATATTTAAACTACAACTTAAACATGAATGACAAAAATTAATGTGCACACAATGCAAACAATAAACTCAGCAATTTCAAATGCTTGATACAGTAGATTTGATAACTTGTAAGGTAACTTTAAGTTTGCTGATTCTTAGATAAAATATAAAATGACTTTGACTTTGGTATTTACTTAAAAAGGATAAATCTCAAGCATATACCTTGTACATGTAAGTAAACTTTCCACTAAAATGAGCCCACTTCACAGAGTCTCTTACCTGAAACAAGTCTTGAAGTAATTCTTTGAATAAATCTTGATGCACTGTTGAAGTGCCACTTCCAAATGCTACAGCCTCAAACAGTACTGTCAGAAGCTAACAAAACCACAAGGTAAGTACCCGTACAAAGTAATTTAGACTTAACCTAATAAAATTGATTTTTCAAAGGTTTGATTATCAACATGCTTTATATTCCATACCTTAGTATAAGAACCTTCTTCACTACCACTATCGGTCTGTTGCCACCACTGTCCTGCAGGTGACATATAATACTATTAATCACCTTCAAAGATAATTACTGATATGTCTTACAATATTTCCTATTGCTTTTACCGGGTATATCTTCCAAAGATGCATAACTTACTTAATTAACTCCAAAATTTAAAAAAAATTCTCACCACTTAAAGCATGTGGCTCAGCAGGGATGGTCTTTATTAACACCTTACATAACCACAGTGTAATGGCACCTTTGGCATGATTCAAACGCCTGTTACTGCGTTTACCCAGAAACTTCACCAAACTCTTTAGCAGAGGAAATGGAACAATATTCCCCGAATCTGACTCTTTGTTTCTTGACTCTTCAACCTACATAACAGATTTAAAAAAAAATCCTCAGACAACAATAAGATGTGCTTATAAATTGAAAAAGAAGTTATTTTCCTTGCATCATACTTGTAGAAAAGGTCTCAGATGCATTTTATGTGAATGTTTAATAAGTTCAGAGTAACATAGGCTATTAAGAGGATACTGGTGGCATGCAAATATAATGTCAGACCAACTAATGTTTTCCAAACTATAGAGAAATGATAAAGGTAGTTGCTTTTTCATCAATTAAATCTCAAGAAAGCAAGAAAGTATTCTTCATTTTAGCACATTTCTTTATGCTTTCAAAAAAAGTGAATATTGAGCATAAAAAAATCGAGGAGAGTGGGACAGAGATCATATAATTTAAAAGCAGAGCTTTGGGAAACTGTTCAGATTATTGCCTTAAAAATTTAATTCCAGTACAGTCCACAGCACCTTGAGTGGCTCATAGTTTCCTGGCAACCTTGTAACTTTCCAAATATCAGGCAAAATAAATTCTGTGATAACTTGGCACAACATCATCTTACACGGCTCTGTTGCTGTAGCGAGGACCCTTCTGAGTAGAGATTCCAGGAGTGGGTGGAAAAGACTTTCATCTGAAAGACTTTTGGCATATGCTATCATACTCTGAACCTGATACAGAGAGAAATGACAAGAAATGGAAAAATCTTAAAATGAACCTATAAAAATGAATTCTTTGCAATTACTGCCTTTTGTTAAACTGTATCTCTCATTTTCTAGGCCCACGCAGTTGAAATCTGGGTCATAAATCAAATGGCAAAAACTCAGTCCATAACTTACTGAATGGACCTCAAACCCTGCAGTTATGTACATATACAGTTTGACCAAGGGTACAATGTAAGCTCTGATATTAATTCTCATGAAGGATTGTGCCAGTGATATTTTCAAGTCTAAAACAATAATTCTTGATATCTAGAATTACATACAGTAAGTAAGAAGGTGGGGGAGTTGTTTTACCCACCATTTCTACAAGCTGTTCTTCATCCAACTTTACCAGGTTTTCTCCAAGCCAACTGATTAGTAAGCTGCTGGCCAAGGCAAGCTGATCAAGGTCAACACTCTTTGTGCAACTTTTCCACTCTGAAAAAGTTTTGGAAGGTAAAATATGTTCAAACTAGAATAACAACATGTATCTTAGCTAATCACAATAAGACTCATTGACACCCACATATGACTTGATGCACCAGCAGTACAGATACATACAAACATACATACATACATATACTTTATTTAATCTCAAATTTGGAGTAGCTAAAAGATAAGCTAGTATCTTCGAGTTACAAGTATAATTCTAAATACTACTAAAATGTAAAATGTAAAAGTGTAACATTCTAAAATTTAACTATGAGAAAGAGTCATTCTGAAGAATCTTGCGCTTGGAATCAGGAAAGTCATACATTCTAAAACAGTCCGGAAGAGAGTTCCATAGTTTTGAAGCCATATATGAAAAGGAGTGAAGTAGTAGTTTTTGTAGATGGTAGAAACAAAGTATAATTTCCGCGTAGGTTATAGGATACAGACTGGAAACTAAACATATTCCTTAGACAGCCTGGATAGCAGTTAAAAAACAAGCTCTTGTACAATATAATTAAGAAAGTCTGAAGGCGTCTTTTATACAGAGATTTGGAGTTAACTTTGGTAAGTAGAGAGTCATAGGGAGAATTATAATCCTGCAAGATAAAGCTAAGAAGTCGCTTGTTTAAAGTATCTATCTTCTCAGTACTACGTGCACCACAATATATTCCCTTTCTGATAGATGTAGTTTGTGTTGTTCCATATCCAAATTATGAGTGAGATGTGATGAAAACTTGACAGATTTATTTCAGGAAAGTATTTCAGTTTGACCAGCCAGCAAAATGATCACCATATAACTCGCGTGTTACATGAAAACCAGGCTGACAAGCATAACAGGGTGATTTCTTATGTCATACACCACTGAAAGAAGATCACTTTGTTAATTGCTGACAAGTTATTTAATCTAAACAATGTAGATGTAAATACCTTTCTTTTCAACAAATTCTTTCATTCCACTCAAAAGAGGATGCAGTGAAGCCAGCTCTGATTGGCTGACAATTAGGGACAACTGAACAGCCATTTTGTGAGACTGACGATGCAGCAGCAAACGAGGCAATAAACCAAACATAACCTCTGCTACAAGTGAAGGCACAGCACAGGTTACCCAGTCACCAACCAACAATAGACTGGCTTCCTCTCGGACCTTGTCCCTACCAGACAAAAAAAGAAGTATTACAACTGCATGTATATCTTTGTAGACATGATATTTCCTTTGTTCATGATAATGTCCATAAAATTACTTTTTACTCACCACTCTTCTGATTTCTTGTCCAGTAGTTTAAACATTTCTTTCAAAAACTGATCAGTGGGAAGATTATCAACAAGCCCCTAATTATAAAAAAAAAAAAAAAAACTGTACTTCATTAATACTATTACATAACTTCAAAGTGTATCTGAGGCAATTTTAATCATAAAACAATCAACTGAATAGTATTCTCTTTCTCAAGAGCAATCATGCCATCTACCTGTCCCAACTTTAGCACACAAGCCACCACAGATGGATCATCATCTTGAATTCGTAAAAGTAATGAATCACTAATGAAGTGTTTGTCTTCAGACAAGCCCTGTACAAACAAAAAAAAAAAAAAAAAAAATTTTAAATCTCAACATTCACCAAGGTTATCACAGTGACTGTATGAAACTACTGTAACAGTTACACACAAATTACTGAAAAAGTAGTAAATTCCATCACAAGCATCAGAAATAATTAACAAGACAGTGTAACCCTCCAAATGAAACAAGTAACGGGAGAAGCTACCAAATGAAAACAAACAAGGGGAGAAGCTAAAAACAAGCTCTTGCTAACTAGCCCTTAAACTCACATGAATGACCAAAACAGAATTTCTCCTCATGATCATTTTATCAATACCACATCAAGCAGGCAAGTGTTGAGAAAAAAGAAAATATCAGTTACAAGATTAGCAGCTGATCCAACACCAAATGCCTCAAACCATTATTGTGACAATTGTACACCAGACAGTCTGGAGAATTACAAAAGAGTTCTTGAAAAGGGTGAAAGGTTGATCACAAACATAACAGCAGGATGACAACCAAAGAAAAGTACCCCTTTCTCTGCTAATAGTTCTCCCAGACGTTTGATTGCCATTTCTCGCACTTGAGCTTGAGGATGATGAAGACTCAAAACCAGTGTTGTATTTGAATCGGGAATGACCTGTACAGAGAAAAGTTATCACTGAGTTACATCACTGTTCTGTCATACACATATACACATGTATGGCATACGACTTTCCACATATCAAAGTGATGCTGAGGTAAAAAATAAATCATTCTGAAAGGGGTACAAAGTAACAGCAGTATTTTAGATATTTCTTGAAGGGTCTTTCTTACAGTACAGCAAGAGAGCCACAAAAGTTTCCTTTTTATTTCTCTCATAATTAAACCCATATGAAACCATGTTATTATTTATGAAATAGGGTCTATGTGTATGTTACATGTAGTTTGGGAGAAATACACACTTGATATCCCTATTTACATCACCATCTTCATCTTCAAGGAGCAGGGAAGTCATGTTTACCTGCGATTTTACTCCTGTGAGTGCTAAGGACACCAGATCCATTGTCCAGCGGGAACCTTCCCCTGCACCACTGCCAGCATCCCCTTCAGTTATGTCCTCTGTGTTCTTGAGTGCCTGAAGATGTGCCTCAATGGCTCTCTCTAGCTCTATAGGATATCTTGTACAGCAAAATAAACTTTAGTATCTTCATATCTCTAGGAAAGAAAAGATCATCTGCAAAGCTTCTGATGGAACTATTGCCCTGT